CTCTGGTGGATCTTCTCACCCTCGGCATCTCTGGCCTGTACCCCAGTTCTGTATGAATAAATAAATAAATCTTAAAAAATAAATGGCAAAATTTGTTTGGTTGCTAATATATACCCAATTAAGTTCTAGCTTATCCCTAGATCAGGAACCAGATGCAGCCTCTGCAGAGCTGTCAGTACACTTTAGCTTGAGTGTTGATGGACCACTCTACCCTTTAAGCAAGTCAGTTCATTGTGATATTTAAAGTCTTGCTATCTTTTTTGAATGAAATTCCTTGTCAGTAGTCAAAATTGACTTGTCACTTTTTTATCTTTAAGTAAAATCTATGCATCTTCTCCATAGAAGAAGTTTAAATAATGTAAAAATGAATTCTGGTGCCTCTCATCTAAATTTTCTTCAGTATTACATTTGCTGGTGATTTAGATATGTCTTTCTCTGTTGTGAAGGTAGAAATCTATATAGTTTAACTCTCCATGGTAAAATTTTCCAAATTTTAAAATTTGACTTCTCAGATCTCTCACAAATGAATAAAAAAACTCATGTTTTTATAATGGGGTACTTTTGTTTTGTGCTAACATTTATTTTAATTGTCCTGTTCTTTTTCCTCTACTCTTCTTGTTCTTCTCTACTCAAAGTACTCAGTGCTTGCTACCCTTCTAGAGATAGTCACTGCTAAAGATAGAATGTAGATGAAAATTATATTTTCAAAATTATGTATAGAGAGAAACAGAGTAGCTTCAGAAAGAATGAGTGAATCTATTAAGAATCTGGAGAAGAGCTAAGGTATAAAAATATTCAGTGGGTGAAGGGAGACAAAAAGTATGTGGTTAACTCAGGAAAACACATTTGGGGGAAAACAGTTATGTAGAGCAGATTCAGTACAAGATGAGGACATTGAGGATAGAGGAGACAGTAAAAGTAATCAAGTAGACAACTGGATGAGAGAAGAGACACAGGATGTAAAGAAAGCATAAAACATAAACATAGATATGGTTGAGAGAGAAGATAGTCAATTGTTGAAGAGAACAAATTTTTTTTTAAAGATTTATTTATTTATTCATAGAGAACTGGGGTACAGGCCAGAGATGTGGAGGGTGATAGGATTCACCAGAGACAGAGTGGGGAGCAGAACAGGCAGATGATCAAAGAACACTGCTGAGGGGAGCAGCGGGCGGGTCAGGAGAGGTCTGCCACGCCATGTGCTCACCTCCGGGGCAGGCGGGAATCGAACTCATGCGGAAGTGTCTTTAGCTTCTCAGTGCAGTGCTTTAACCCACTGCGCCACCAGGGAGGGCCCAAAGAGACCAAATTTTTAATAGCCAGTTTATATCAGAGAAAAAGTAAGCAGAGTCAGATTATAGTGAAAGCACAAACACAGTCTTTTAAAAGACAACTTGGCATAGGTAGAAGAGAATGACTAGACAGATGTGAATTAAATTGAAACAATAAATATAGCAAAAGTGACATTAGATGAATGCAGAAAGAAATAGAAAGTAGAGAGAATCCACTTGTGATGAGAGCATAGTACTTAAAAATACAGCAAGACACAGATGGGTTGTATACAGAGAGATGCCAAGGAGGCCTGAACTCAGAGTGGAAGAACAAATAACTGGTATAAACCAAAGAGTGTTTTACATAGCAGCCCTGGAAACAGAGGCAGTAGTTTGCAGGCATGGATTAAGTGACTGGATCAATTTGGCAGGAACTACTGGAAGAATACTTTCGTTGATAGCAAAAGTGACAGTGGACGTAAGCATATCCAAAGGCAGAATGGAAGTAAGACCAATATCATGTTCAGAAGATGGTCAGAAACACCATGTTCTTGGGAAGGGAGAACAAATAAATGGACAGAAATTTATATCAGAGAAACCTCAACTATACATGAGATCAAAAGCTTGAGTAGATGTAAGTGGACTCTGGAAGAAATAAAAGCAGAGAAGTAAGCAAAAATTAAGTAGGAACATAGAAAAGGAAAAAAAATAGTTCATGGTTTCTGAAAGAAAGAAGTGGTACAAGACAAAAATACAAATGAAGTACCGATTAGGTTCAGAATGAAATAGGACTTCAAAAAGGAGCACATCCATGATCCATGGAAAATATTTAGAGAAAAAAAGGAGAAACATAGAGCCAAGAAAACCAACTAGTAAGAGACTGAAAGGAATTCAGCAAGAGGAATGAGGAAAGATGTGAAGCAGGCATGAAGTGAGCAGGTAGAGCTCGAAGCTTCAAGATGGTTTATGTAGTAAAACATAGCTGAACAGTGAAAAAGGGACATAGAAGTTGAAGCAAGAAAAGCATCAGTAGCAAGCAGAGAATGATTAGATATGAACTCAACACAGGGAATCAGGTATATGCGAAGAAATGTAAACAGGCAGTGAAATGAGCAGTGAGCACTTAGAGATGAGAAAACATTAGTGACTAGAGAAAGATAAAGAATAATCTGGGCTAGAATAGGCTAAGATCATTGGTTGTATTGGTAAAAGGCACAACAAAATAGATGAAAACTAGATTGTGTTTACTGGGGGGATAGAAATAATGATTGGGGAATAGAGGGATGCATATGAAAATCAGCATTGGTGCAGAGATGGAAAGTTACAACTTGAGAAAAGTGGCTAATCTTTGTAAAAGTGTATAATCTTTGTATAGCGATATACCTTATTTGATGAATATCAGAGAAGCATTAATCCTGGGTTGAGGTCTGGTTTATAGAATACTTGTTAAGCTTTTCTGCACACAAAAGTAAGGGAAAAGCACACAGAATCATTTTCAGATGTGGTAATTCCCCCTTATCTATGAGAGATGGGTTCCAAGATCACCAGTGGCTACCTGAAACCATGAATACCACCAAGCTCTATATATACTATATTTTCTTATTCATACATACCTAGAGTTTATAGATAAAACACAGTAAGAGATTAACAGAAACAATAATAAAATTTAACAATTATAACAGCATACTGGAATAAAAGTTATGTGAACATCCTCTCCCCCAACCCCCAATCCCCAGTATCTTAATGTTAGTGTTATTTTCAGACTATGGTTGACTATAGTAACTGAAACATTAAAAAGAGAAACTCCACTGGGGATTACTGCATTCTGGCTCGAGCTGAGAGAATAATTCAAAAAATGTTTTGAGTTTTTTAATTTTGTTTTAAACAAAATTCTCATGAAATATGTTATTAGGAAACTTTTTTGCTGGCCTAATGAAGTTGATTTTTGTCACAGTATCATTTCCTCCTCTCCTTAAGTAGATTTATTGACACATCTTAACCTTATGAAACCTCACTTATATATACCAGGGGCTACAGCATTTGAGGAAATTTGATATAAATATGTATGTTTTCTTCTAACTTATGCAATTTCTACCCTGAGAATAAGAGGGTTTTCTCCAAATTACTAAAGCATGTATACATGTTTGCTAGTGTTTATTTGAAATGCTTCACTAAGAGCCTCTCCAGCTGTCCTTTTCTAACACCAAAACTTAGTGTTTCTTCTTCTTTCAATGTAGCAAAGACCATGCAGCTAGTACTGCCGGAGCTGCTGGCCTGGCAAGTGGGCACCACCGGGAAGGTTGGACCACCACCAAAGGGCCCTCCTATGAGGACTTATACACTCAAAATGTTGTCATTAACATGGATGACCAAGAAGATCTTCATCGAACCTCATTGGAGGGGAAATCTGCCAAAGAACGACCCATTTGGTTGAGAGAGAGCACTGTCCAAGGGGCATATGGTTCTGAAGAGATGAAGGAAGGTAAGAATAGAAGTCAGTAAAATGACCATTTTGGGTTCAGTAGAATAAAGCCTTACTTGGTAGGAAATTACCTGGGCAGTTCATATTTGTATTGGTAATACATTATTTCTGTCTTATGAAACCATTGCATTATAATAGACACGAGAAATTGAACAATAAACATTCAAACAAGCTAGTACACTATCCTTCATCTTAGATGAAATAAATGTCTTTTCAGGTGTAAGAACTTAGCATCTCTTTACCTTACTTTCTTAGGAAAGTGTTGCTGTGTATAAGGTAGCCAAATTCACCCCTTCTTTATTCTGTTGTTCTAACATAAATGCATTTTTATTTCTCTGAATTGGGAGCCATAACTATAACATAGGCTTTTTTTATATTGTCTCTTCATAAATACTAAAGAATTCATTTTAAAAAATTACCATTTCAGTGAAGAATATGGATACTCGCCATTCAAGTATACTGGGGGAACTTTTTAAAAAAATTATTTATTTATGCATATAGAAATGGGGTACAGGCCAGAGGTGTAGGGGTGGTGAGAGGATTTACCGGAGACAGAGTGGGGAAGAGAACAGGCAGATCTACAAAGTACACTGCTGAGGGAAGCAGCAGGCAAGACAGGAGAGGTCTGCTGCGCCACATGGATCAGCTCCGGGGCGGGGATTGAACTCACACTGAAGTGGCCATGGCTTGGCTTAGCTTCTCAGTGCAGCACTCCAATCCTCTACTCCTCTTTAATTAGATTTTTTGAAATCTCTGTGAACTCTGTAAAGGGTTAAGAATTGCATAATAGTCAGAAGTCTGAAAAAGGTAAGCGTTTGCTTTTTAATTTTTAGTCTTAAATTACTGGACTCTTAAGACTTTGATGCTTTACGAATAAGTAGTAAATAGAGGTTAAGGATGGAAAAAGATACACAGAAACAGGATCAATAGTAACTGAAAAACACTTGTTCTTTTGGCCTTTGTCCTAACTCCTTTTTCCTTGGGGATATGTACAATTGTAAATGTTGTTGAAATTGGGTAGAATGATGGTAAAGCTGATAATACCTCTGATATGATTCTCATTAATATTTTAGTTCTAATAAGAAAAAAGTTTTCTTTGGTTAGCATACTCCATTTGTCCTCCAATCTCCACTGATTAAGTGGCTATGTTATTTAGTTATATTGGTTCAAATAGGCTATTTATTAGATAGTCAACTATTTAATAGGTTTGTTTTCCCTGCTTGACTTTTTGCCTGCTTCTTTGACCACTTCAAGAAGCGGTCCTGTGGCTTGGGGATGGCTGCAATAGCTTCATAGGGCTGTGCTTTAACCTGTTGCATCCCCCATAGGGATTTTATTTATTTTTTCAAAGATTTATTTATGCATACAGAACTGGGGTACAGGCCAGAAGTGCAGGGGCAGTGAGAGGATTCACCAGCGACAGAGTGGGGAGCAGAACAGGCAGACTGATGAAGTATACTGCTGAGGGGAGCAGCAGGCAGGTCAGGAGAGGTCTGGGGTGGGGATCATCTGGGGGGGGTGGAACTCATCTGATGTGGCTTTAGGTTCTTAGTGCTGTGTTTTAACCTGCAGAGCCACCAGGGAGCCCCCCCCACCAAAGGGACTTTAAATGAAGTTTTCTGTTCTACCCAATTCAGCTTTGTGAACTTATTTTTCTTATAAAATAGGATAGTATGCTGTCTTGTCTAAATTTGTCTTAGTTAGGTTTCATAATAAAATAGTACCTATCCACTGAGCGTGTGAAGTGAGTCCTACTTATCCTGCATTTAATTATCCCTAAACTTCAAGTCATTTTAACATGCTTCAGAATTTTATAGACTTCAATAATGTTCTCATTACTATACAGAAAACTTCCTGTTAGTTCTACTTTTCCTTAAAAAGTCCTTTTCCTCAAGACAACTCCATTTATAACTTCTTTTTTTTTTTTTCCTGGTCTTTTTCTAGACCAGCTTTGGTTGTAATAAGCTTTACTTGAGATCTAGTGAGCCCAGAACATTATATTCTCTCTCTTTTTTTTTAATGAATTGAGTTTTATTTCCACTGTTCTTCTGTTTTTTACCTGACAGTTTATTACTTTGCTTCTGGAAGCATATTAAGACCAACAACTTTAGAAACATCTGCAGGGACTTTTAAGACTGTTTTCTACCTTAATGTCTGATGGCTTGGACCATGTTTTTCAGTATAAGATTTATTTCCTATAGGCAGATTTTCTTCTACTTAACACTACAAATAGGCCTGTCTATTTATAAAAACCTTCCATTCTTTATTTTTCTTTGCTGTCAGATTGGCCTTTAACCACCCAGAATTGTTTAGTATCACCAGTGACCTTGATAATTTCTCAGTATACTGTATTTGTAATTTGTAACTCTATTAAATAGGACTGTTCCTAGAACTAACTTTTTTACTTTGTCATCCAGAGAATAGTTCACTTATCCTTTTTTTTCTGTCTTTATAATAGAACAATTCCTCTTTTCCCCAAACATGTCAAGTTTCCTGTCATAAATCTATTTTATTTAGTTTACAGAAAGTAACTAGGTTACTTTCCCTCTAATTATGAATTTATTTTAAACATTAGTCAAAATGTGTTGGTAGTATTGAGCTATCTGGAATGTTCTTGTAGAAGTAGTCATTGCCTTAGAGACATATATCATGTACATTCTTTGTCTTTTTTCTAATGAAATACTGCATTTGCAATAAGGGCTGTAGGAGGAGAATTAGCTTTTGCAGTGTTTTAAAGTAGTTAAGTTTGATTTAGTTCTCATTTTTATATACATATTATCAAAAACCTGTTTTCTCTGACTTAAAACTTTTAGTATCTCAATACTTGCTTCATTTCTCTTTTCTACCAATATATCACTTCTGGAGTTCTGTGCTCTAAAATGTCTAGGATTACAGTTAATTCATTTCAATGGGTTAATGAGAAGATGCTTCCACTTAATTAATCCATGGTCAGAATTGGTCAGTATTAGGCCTTTTCTTGATAATGATAGATAACACTAATTTAAGTGCCAAGTCTATGCTATGTGCTTCACAGATACTCTCCTAGGCTCCACAATAATCCATGAGATAAATATCATTTATTTTTCCCTTATTTTTACTTAAGGAAATGAAACAGAGATAAAGTTCTTGGTTAAATCACACAGCTAATGAATTTTAGAGTTGGACTTGGATCAAGAAGTCAACACTTTTAATCCTGTCATGTATTTTAAATGGTAGTATGTTTGATATTACGTTCAGAAGATAGATTACAAATGTTTTTCTTAAGTTTTTCATCTGTCACACATATCAGGCAAGATCTGTCACAAAATGATAGGTTGGAGATGTATGGTAAGAAAAGTTTCATTTCTGATACTCAACTTCCTTTTATAAAAGTTTCCTGGTTTGCTTTAGGAAAACAAAACTGTCATATATTCAGTCATTCATTGAATATTTATTCAGGGCCTAGCAAGTAATAAGTACTATTCTTGGTGCATGGCAAAGTTCACAGAATAAAAGATAAATATCTGTTGTGGAGAATTTGCTTCCTGGGAAAGGGACTAATAAAAGGCAATAGGCATAAGTCACTTCTTTATTTTTAATTGTGGTAACATTAGGATTACCTCCATCAGGTATAACCACATAGGATACTTGCCACCAAATTGCCCACAGTCTACCACCATAGTCTATGTGCCTCCTTCCTTCTTGGCTCTTAACTCCTTTCCCAACCTCTTCCCCCTTTGGATACTTTAGTACTATAGTATAAATTATTTATTACATTAGAAAATAAGGCTATGGCAAAAAATTATAAAGCCATTAGAATGTAAGAGTAATGGTCAGTTAAAAGAAAGTGACATCTGAGAAAAGACATGAAATACAGAAGGAAACTTAGATGTCACTGTAAGGCCTTTAATATTTAGTCTTAGTCAAGAGAGGCCATGTTTTGATTTCCTGTTTTGCCACCTACTATATACTTGGTCCTTCATAGACCTTATTTCATAGGTCCTTATCCAAAGCCATAGAAAATACATGGTTTTATCACCCTACTTTACAGAAAAAGCTACCAAAGTTTAGACACTAAGTAATTTGTCTAAGTTGGTATACTTTTCATGTGGAGAACCAGGATTCAAATCCAGACTACATGATCCTTAAAACCTATGTACCCAACCACTCTGCTACTTAAATTCTAGTTTGTAAGGTTCATTTGGAATATGTTATGGACAGTAGTTCAAAAATGGAACCAATGAAGTGTTTCTTTTTTATATTCTCTTAATGTATATTTAAATATTAAAAGTAAGTTTCATTAGTTATCAGAAATGCCTTTTATATTTGAAGATATTGACTTACTGGTTTTTCCCTTCCAGGTGGCCTAGATATAGATTCATTTCAGGAGCGTGAGGAAGGCCGTGCAGGGCTGGATGATAATGAGGAGGTCATGCGAGCGTTGCTCATTCATGAGAAGAAGACGCCTTCTGCCACGGCAGGCTCAGTGGGGGCAGCAGCTCCTGTGACTGCAGCTAATGGCAGTGACTCGGAGAGTGAGACCAGTGAGTCAGATGATGACTCCCCACCCCGACCAGCAGCTGTGGCTGTGCATCATCGGGAAGAAGATGAGGAGGATGATGAATTTGAAGAAGTAGCAGATGACCCCATTGTCATGGTGGCTGGCCGCTCCTTCTCCTACAGTGAAGTGAGCCAGCGGCCAGAGCTGGTGGCCCAGATGACACCAGAAGAAAAGGAAGCATACATAGCAATGGGACAGCGCGTGTTTCAGGACCTCTTTGAGTGAGCTTTCCCTGATTTTCCCCTCCTTTCTCTAACTCTCATTTCAAAAAGAAATTCCCTACTTTTGAAGACAAGTGTATTAAGTGGCTTTCTGCCCTTCTTGATATAAAGTGACTGTTAATTTGCACAAAGAATAATGGGAGAGAAAATTTGATTTTTATACCAGAAACTTCCCAGCAAGGTAGGTTGGTTATAAGTACTTCTTTGTCTATTACTACATTAATATTTTTACTGTATTTCCTTGCCTAATCTTCTTCCTTTACTTTATCTCCCTGTTAAAATGAGAGAGGGAAGTCTAAATTGCTCCTGTCTGCATGCAAAAGCCCACTATGATAGGCTGTAGTGAGTCTGACCAAGCATTCTGATGACTCCTGATAATTGCTTACAACCAAAGCAACTTGCCAATAGGCAATCATTAGGGGGTAGGGGGTGGAATCTGAAAGCTTCATACTGCCTCACAATTGAGAATGGAATCAATAAGGGGAAGTGAGAGTATGTGAAGAAGAGAGGGATAACATGCTTAAATCTCATGATTAACATCTATGATTTGTGTCTTTAGAATGGACCAGAATGGTAAATTCGCTAGTTTTGTTTAATGCCTTTTTGGTTTGCATTTTGGATGTTAAGAACACAAAAAATGGGTTTGATAAATCTATATAAAGAAATTAGATAAAAGTAGTTATAGGACATGGAGTCCATGTAAAGTTTGAGTAATGGAGAACATTAGGAACAGCACTTTTTGAGTTTGTGATTGCTTTGGAAATTGAGGCTGGCCCCCCATTTTCCTCTTCTTTTAGAGACCTCTCTCTTGTCGTTGCCATAAATTGTTTAATGAGGATATTTCAGCAGAAAATAGCATATTATAACAACATTTGGTTACTCCTTCCTTCCTTCCCACCTCCCTCAAATCATTGAAGGCCTATTTTGTTTCTCGATTCTTATCAGATATACTTTAGGCTGCATTCAGGGCATTGTTGAGCATTGCAACTTCAAGGAACATTACTTTTGGTTCTGATAGTATCATGGTACCATTCCTTAAGGCAGAACTTTACAAATAAAGTATTTCCATGCAAGGGTCTATCTGTAACGATGTGTTTTTGTAATATTTTCTCTTGGACTGTAATTTTTAAGTATTTATCATTTTGTAGTATGTATGTGAAGATAGATTTTAGAGTATCTCTGCCTTGTATGAAGTAATGTTTCATCTACCTGAGTTTGTATTAATGATTGAATATTGGCAATAAACTTATTTTTTTCACATATATATATTAGAAATACATCTCATTGAGATGAATGTGAAGTGAATTAGGCTTTACAAGTATTTTTAAGTTCTGTTTTTTGTTTTGGAGGCTTTAGTTTTTTTTATTGGAATAGCACTGTTTTGTATACAGTATGTACAGCTTCAGGTGTATAGCATTATAATTTGACATGTGTATATACTTTATTATACTTAAGCCAAGAATCTACTTTTCATCCACCATGAAAATCTACATTATACTGACTGAACTTTGTTAATTACTAGCTCTGTGATATCTTGGAGCATAATTAAAATGAATACTCTTCCCATTAAAAAATGTTTCAGACTTTTTTTATTAGTCATGTATCAAATAATAGATAAAATTGTATGTGGTCTAAATTTTTTTATGGCTATACATTGTTTTAAAAATGACTTTTATGTATGTACCTTGTACATAAGGGGCTATTCAATTTTTAAAGTTTATTAAACTTCCATAGTTGTAGAAAGAAGTTAATTTAACTAAAATATTAATCAAATGTTAAGTTTTAAAACATAATTGTAGATAAGCTGAAGCTGTTAGCTCTTTATTCCGATGAGTAAAAATTTCTTGTTGTTTTTTCTGAAATCTAACTTGCATAGTTTACGTTCTAAAACAACTATTCTTTTGTTTGCCATTATCTACCAATTTCTTAGTCATATGGCTTAGTTGTATATTTTGTCACCTTCTGCAGTCTTGCAGCAATACTGAAACCAGTTTCTTGTCATAATTGTTTCCAACCTACCACCTCTTTATTCCTCAGTTTCTAACTATTCCTCAGTATGTTTCTCTGAAACATTTTTCATCTCATATTCTAGCCATTACTCTGTCTTGGTTCTTCTTATGTCATTGGCTATCCTTCTTAATCTTCGGTCTTTATTTCCTCTTCTGCTATATATATGAGCATACCTCATACATATAAACCATTTTTTTCCATACATAAAACCTTTTTTTCCTGTGTGTGTGTGTGTGTGTGTGCATAATTTGTATTATTTTAAAAAAAGATCAAAAACAGGCCCCTTCCTGGAGGCTCACCGGGTTTAAGCACAGCACTATGAAGCTATCTGCAGCCACTGCAGCATGAACTCTATCCCCGGCCCCTGAGGCAACCCACACGGTATGGCAGACCTCTCCTGTCTTGCCTGCTGCTCCCCTTGGCAGTATGCTTTGTCAGTATGCCTGCCTGCTCCCCACTCTGTCTCTGGTGAATCCTCTCACCCCTCACTCCCCACACCTCTGGCCTACACCTCAGCTCTTGTGTGCATGAATAAATAAATCTTTAAAAATAAACATCAGAAACAAAGACAAAAATATGAGTAAATATACTCATTGCAGCAGTGTTTGAAATAGAATAGATAAGTAGCACACTAACTATGCATAGATTGAGCATGTAGCCATTAAAAAGATGGTATTGGTAGGAAAAGATACCTACAGTATATTAAGTATAGTTTCCATTTTTCTACTTTTGTATGTGTGCAGAGAAAAGTAGCTGACATCTACTAGCTTACTATGTGTCAGACAATAACTACGTATCTTGACTCATTTAATCCTTTAAAACAAACCTGTGAGGTAGCTATTACAGTGTTCTTAATGTGTTACAATGGAAAAGATCCTTTCCCATTTTAGAAAAAGAATCAAAAGGATATTTAAAAAAGATCCTATAGAAAATACTGGTAGATTAAAGAAAGAGTGACAAAAGCAAGCTTTTATATTAATGCTAGGATTTTTGCTGTGCTTTTAATTTTTTCATTCTTTTACTTAGAGAAACAACTATGACATATCAAAATTAATCTGAAAATATAATGTAACATGTGAAATTTTAGAACTTATCCCTTTATTTCAGTACCATATCAAATGATATGATAGTTTGGTGTCACGATCTGATGGTTTCTCTTTTGAGTGTGCAATTATCTGGTGAGAGATTAGCCAGTCAGTGACAGAATAACCCAAAATGTGTTTCCTGACAATTAGCCAGCATGTAGTAAGAGCAGCTCACATACAAGATCTCTTGATACATGTAAAATCACAGTATCTGTTGACCACAGAAAGAGTTGTCACGCCCTCTATAATAAGGGGTGGCCAGGAACTCTTCTCTGAGTGAGTTTGACTCTTGTAGTATAACTCAGTTATTAGCTGCCCAGATACCCTAGCCTTTCCACTGTTCTTTAAACATTTTTTATACTTATGTCCTGCAGTATTTCCTTTAAAATTATTTCTTTTGGGAATTAATAATGTATCACTTCATAGAAGGAATAAAGTTCAATCTGCATTGAAAAAATATTTCTTTTGGGGGGACAGCAAGGATAAATGGTTTATATTCTCCTGTTTTGTCTCTCTTCTTCCTGGTTTCTCTATCTACTCCCTGTTCCCACGGTACCATCAACACAAGTCTGTAGCAGATCTTCACTAGAGTTTTATGGTAATGGGCAGCGAGGGACAGGCAACAAGAAGGACTATTGTTAAGACTACATAGTCATGGAATATAAGAATTGATGTGCACTCTTGTTTTTTTGGCTATATCCAGAAAGTTAGGTTTATTAGAAGAAAGGAAAGGAGAATAAAATGTTTGCAGATACCGGCAGGTGGAAAGAGCTGCTGCACCCTTGTTCTTATAGTCTCTGCTACGCTTCCAGTTAGAGTCATCCCTCCAAATCTTGCTAGGACTTCAGCTTCTATTTTGCTTCTCTTCCTCACTCCTTTCCTTTCAAAGGCCTTGGAAAGTCATATTAGAGAAAATACTTAGTTTTTATTTTATTCCTGTAGACGGTGCCTTGAATATTCATACCATACCCAAAGTGACCTATCAGTGTTTTCCTAACCAAGGAACCATTTGTCACCTCTAGGGAGGTTTATGAGAAATTTTTTATTCTCTTCACTGCATTTAAAAACATTACCCATTTTACTTTGCCACAAGTAAGAAGATGAATAAACAACCATGGTCCTAATTTGACCATAACCTTGTATTTGGTAAGAAATTGCTTTATTTCTATCTGCTCTTAAAATTGAAGCCTTTTTCTTTGAGGTCTTCTTTTACCAAAACACCTTAAGAAATAATAAGTTGAAATGATTAAAAGAAAATACCCAATTTGGCTTTGCCTGGAAGTTGAAGAGAAGACAAGGTTCTGTCTCCACTTCAGCCCACTATACTCTTATACTGTAACATTATTAATCTGATGTAGTCTATCTAGGTCAGTTTCTCTGCTGTCAATAATGACAGGATTTTGCCATTATCACCAATGATTCCTTTCTGCTCTACTACTTCAGAGGTATGTGGTCGATAATAGATTTTTAAATGAGGCCAAATTTTTAAAAAATGAGCACCTTCTGATGTGCTACAGCCAATCAAATCCCAAGGATATTTTAATTGGTGGAGTATTGTAGGTGGCTTGTTTAGGATTTAGAAGGTAGCAAAAACAGTACACCAATGACTATGTCTTGTAGGGTACTTCACTTCAATAATCTTGAAGAAGAAATAATTGAATTTTCTGTAACTGTTTTGGTTAGTTTTGAGAGAATTGGACACTGAGTAAGAACAAGATTAGGAAGAACATTTCATTTTCTTTTCTACCAGTTGGCTCTATGGCTTGATTCTCAGCCAGGACCACAATAGAAAGACTTACATATGTACTTTTTGGTGCTCTTTATTCTGGAGTTTAAAAAAAGTAACAGAAATGTCAATCAAAACAAGTATAACAATCTTTAGAGTTTAGAAATTTGTATAATTCCACCTTAATATTTGTTTCCACCAAAGCTATTTTACATGTGTTATTTCTAGCAGAGGTAGGCTACTATCCTTGGTTTTTAAATAAAAAAGAAAATCTCTTGGGAAATAAAGATTTTTCAGAAGAAACTGGCACTATGGTAAATTTACTGTCCTTTTGACTTTTTATGTCATAAAAGAAAGAAAATAAACTGAATAAAGCTAGTCTAGGTAAACAAGTAAAGCCAAGTGCATTAAGAAGGGGAAAAAATATAAAATTTCACCTCTTCCTTTGAAGAACTAAAGGAATGAACTGATTCTGGTGTGTCCCAGAAGGAAGGAATTTATACCTTAGCTTCTCTTTAAAAAGAACTTCAAATCCTTCTGAGTTCTAGTGACTTTCTTTCCTGTTTCAATTTGTGAGGCTTATAGTCTAGTCCACGACCCAGTTTCAGTAGTCAGTTCATGTTTCCCAGACACAAATGCACCTTACCACTTACCTAGTATAAATAAGTCTGAGAAACAGGTCTGGAAGAAGTCTGGTACCAGGTTCTAAATGCATTGAATTATTTTAAGGTAGACAGTGGTTGTGCAGTTTTGTTATTTGGTATTTAAAAATCCATCCAATATGAAATAGATAAAACTCTCCACCCAACCCATCCCATTACCCCAAGGTAGACATTCTCAATAGTTCAATGTGTGTCATTCCAGACTTTACATACCTTTAGAAACAGCTTACCTGTGGATAATTACTGCATTGCTTTTTAAGTTAAAATAATCATACACATTGCCACTTGTTTTTTAAGTATCTTGGAGCTCTTTCAGTATTAGTAAACTTAGATCTGTTTCATTTTCAGAAATAAAAGACTAGAATTCTAGAACATAATTGTATGATGGTTTGTGTAATGAGTTTCCAGTTCTTCACTATTAAAGTGCTGTAAAGAACTACCTTCCTAGTTTTATTTTTGTGTATTTCTATAGACTAGATCATAGAAGAGAAATAGCTTATATATGTTAAATTTTCACAGATAAGATTACTGGATTTTAAATAGGGGACAATTTTGGTGTTATTGTTGGAGTTTAAACCTAAAGATTATTAAACCCATTTCAGTATACTAAGGAGTAATTTGGTCTAAAGACCCATTTTAAATCAGTGGAAGGTGGAGAAGACAGATTTGAGAAGCTTTGGGGAGGTAACATTTATGGATTTGGTGACTAGATAGGACAATGCCTTGGATGAAGCATGGGTTTCTGATAGGACAGTGATTCCATTTACCACAATTGGAAATATGAGGAAGATTTTGCTCTTATTTTGGCTCTCCAACTCAGTAAATTGTACCACCATTTCACCTACAAGTCTATAGTTGGTCATCTTTTCCTTTTTCATTGAATGTCTTAATTCATCAAGTTCTGTCAGACTTAAAATATAATCTAATTTGTAAAATCTAATTTTGAAGATAGAGATGACAGGATTTGCTGATAAATGGAAAATGTATTCTAAATCTGACCTCATTACTTCCACCACCACCAACATAATCTAAACCTCACCTTGGCTAGCTAGGGCAGCCTCCTAACTGATTTTCTA